TTATTTAAAGGCATTGAGTCATGATAAATAGACTGGGTATACCCTAAGTGCCAAAATCCGCTGAGTCATGATTTCCATGACTGCGATGCTATTGGTTTACCTTGAACTGGTCACATGAACTCACCTCGTACTGATTAACATAACAGTTTCCATCAATAGCAAGTTGTCAACAACGGATGCCAATATCACATGAAACAGCAGCGATTGTTGAATTTGTTTAGTTGGTCACCCTATGTACAAGCGCCTACGTAAGGGCCTTCTTATTTTTTCTGTATAAGGTGTTATCTTTAAAGTTGTTAAAGAGAGTTGTCGCCTGAAATCATCGCGAACGAACGCATTATCACAACGAAACGCTGTATTTCATTTATTCATTCACAAATCATCACAGTCTAAAATGTAACTGTTTGTTTTATTATCATCGTCTTCTGGCAATCTTTTAGTCATTATAGCTGGACTTAATATTTACAATTGTCGTAAATGTTGGAAACTAAGGACGCAGGACCTTCCGTGTATCCTTACAAGGATGCTCAGCCAACTACCCAACAGCGATCACGCCGAAATCAAATGACCCCCTATAGAGAAAGCCTATTTACCATGACTCAATGCCTTTAATATTACACCATAACTTGTTGCTGATAAATGGAATGGTACCCTGAAATTTGCCTGCATTCAATATTACACCAACTCTTTTTTTCGATAAATGAAATTGTACCCGTATATTTCCTTGTTTATTCAATATTACTCTATAACTTTTGTTAATACATGTAATTGTACTCTGTAATTTGCCTGTTATTCAATATTACACCATGACTTGTTGCTGATAATGAAATTGTACTCTGGAATTTGCCTGTTAGTGGATATTTGACCATAATTTGCTGATGGATAGAATTTAGAAGTGATTTTTAATTACACTATATATGTAGCTTCCACACAGCCAACCTTCTCAGTGCAGTTCGATTTCCCCAGGCTTTCTGTTATCAGGAGAACTATGGGGTTTCCTAAACATGTTAAAGAAAACCAAAGTTAAAGGAAAGCCTTTGAAGTTGGGCTTGGACTTTACTTGTTGATGTTTATGGCATGTTATAACTTCAATACAGGGATCAAAACTTTTTGTATATGCTAAACAGTACTATCCTTGATACATTTGTTTTAGATTTGTAAAAAATTAAGCTTATAAAATTGAAGCCAAATATAAAATTCTGAACCAAGAAACAAGCGTCCCACAATTCCCTGTATCATAAACAAGGGAGGGCCTACCTATAATTGAGGGCTTATCTTGCCATACTAATCTTAATTAAGAAACATCATAAAAAGTGTCAATAATTAATAGTAAGAGAATGGATATTTCTGAGCCATTGCTGACTTGAATAAGCTCATTTATCAAAAGTTTAGATTTTGTAAAAATGTTTGTAGATAAAATATTCTCTCATCTGCAATGTTTTATCAGTGTGATCAGTAGTGTTTTTTGGGGCTTTTCAAATGCACAATTTTTCAAAAACATGGTCACAAAAATATGTTCAAATACACAAGTATGGAGAATGGGGTGGAAAGAACATTTAGATGTTGAAGTCATTGACAGAATTGATTGCGATCGAAGCAAGAGCTATTTGATTCAATGTACTAAAAAGGGCGTTACCCCCTTTTCCAAGCATCTATAGGGTGTGGTCACTCAGCGTATTTGAGTGAAGCCAGAAATTACTCGCGCATGCGTTAATTTGCATGCTAATTCTCGTTTCCATGCCGAGAATTAGCATGTAAACAAGCTTCGTGAATTGGAAAATATTTCTCTGCTTACTAAAGTTGCTACAATATTGTTGCATTTGTCAAAGGAAACTCTCAAAACAAACTGGGCGTCCATAAGGGCGGTAGTATTCGGGAATCAACTGCTACAAGAATGCTTCCAAGTGCTGACTTGTCATCGACCCTTCGGATGGAGTTTCGTGAATAAAGTGTCAGATAATGTATTACCTCACGTGGAATTTATCCAGCAGTCTGAAGTATCTGATAAGAGAACTTAGATAAAGAGTTCTAATTGCGAAATCCCTTCATCTCCCTCTAAAGTTGTTGTCCAACTTCATGGCTAGTAAATCTGTAAAAGCAATAGACTGGTTCTAATTTCAAGTGATTATAAAACAAGGGGTGTTGTGGAGTCATAGTAACGGTTACGGCTCTTGCGTAATTAGTGAGTTCGAGTTAGAGTCGAGTTAGTGCTAGAGAAAGGGTTCGCAAGTATGGTACGTGTTGTGAGTGGATATTTTATAATCGCGCTATGCTTGTAAATATACGTTGTAAATAGTGTTATATTACACTTTAACTACAGTGCAACTAAGTATATATAAAATAACTCACGGCCCTTTTCAACTCGACTTGTGGCAGAAAGGAGCAGAGAGACAACGACTTCTTTCGTCAGCACTTTGAACGAACAGCAAGATGCTTCTCCCAAAAAGCCTAATTCTTAAAACTACTACAGCGTATTTATAGATACAAGCATTTTACAACTATTAATAACAACCAATCAGCTAAAAACACGTAAGACCTACAACCAAAAGAAACATAGATAATTAACAGCGGAAATAAAGTGTTTGCCAAATATTTAAATTATACCCTACAATGGTTCGTTCGATCTGGTGCACAACACAACCTCCCCCTTTGAAATCGAGCCTCCCGGCTCGAAAACGCGTCAAACTGGTAAAATCTCCTGTGGTGTACAGTAATCCTCGGGACGAGTGATAGAGGGCTCATCTACCGACGAGTCACTTTTTGCTATCGGGTTAGGTTCTGGTAGAAAACTGTCTGGCGGTAAATCCACATCACTGAGATCAACGAACGTGTCACATTGCGGAGGAGCAGCGGTTGGACGGTCCGACGGATCGACGTACAGCTTCATGCGGTTTGCGTGCACTGGAACACTAACTGGACGGTTGTCGAGTGTCCTTAAACGAAAATGAACAGGCGATAACTTCTTGACAACGCGATATGGTCCGTGGTAGTTATGGGCTAACTTTTTGGAAAGACCCTTTCTCGTTTTTGGGGTGTACACCCAGACTTTGGATCCGATATCAAAGGAGACTGGCGCACTGTTCTGATCGTAGTAGTGTTTCATGCGCTGTTGAGCCAACTCTGTATTTGTCTTAACTATGCGACGGGCGTTTTCCAGATTTTCGACAATGCGAGCACGGTGTTCTGCAACGGAGGACGAGAGTTTTGCTGTCGAAGGCAAAATAAGAGACGCATCAATTGGCAGACGAGGCTCTCGCCCATATAAAAGATAAAACGGCGATTCGTGGGTCGTAGCGTGAGGCGAGACACGGTAAGCGAAAAGCACCAATGGCAGGTGGCGGTCCCAATCCCTCTGATTTGAGCTGACATACATCGACAACGCTTCCGCAAGGGTACCATTAAACCTTTCGACTAGTCCATCCGTTTGCGGATGATACGAGGTAGTCCGAAGTTGGCGAGTGTTGAGCAATTTGCAGACCTCTGTAACGATAGATGCAAGAAAATTCGAACCCCGATCTGATAAAAGCGTTTTCGGAGCACCATGGCGAGCGAGAATCTTGTCCACAAGCAAGTTAGCAATCATAGACGCTTCAGTAGAAGGCAAAGCAAAAGCTTCAGGCCACCGTGTGTAATAATCAGAAAAAACCACAATATAACGGTTGCCGTCGTTTGTAACGGGAAACGGGCCTAAGACGTCCATGGCTACTCGATCAAAGGCTCCTTCGACAGGAATAGGCAGCAAGGGTGCCTTCTTCTTACCCCTAGGCACCTTCTTCATCGAACAATCAATACATGAAGTACACCAATGTTCAACGTCTTTATACATGCCGTGCCAATAATAACGAGAACGAATTTTCTCATACGTTTTAAAAACGCTTAAATGACCAGCAGTAGGTTCATCGTGACAAGCAATAAGAATCTCTCGGCGAAGGCTTGCAGGAATTACCACCTGAGAACATAAAGACTGAACATGTCGTTTACTAGGTGTCCATAAATGACATAAAACCCCATTTTCGTCCAGATAGTACGAGTCGACAGTCAGTAGCAGAGTACGCGCTTTACTGTTATCATCTGGCAAGAGAGAACACTCGAGGTACTCAATAATGGCGAAAAGGTCACGATCTTCGCGTTGTAATTTGGTGAGCTGTGGAGGAGCAGGACATGGGTGCCTAATAGAAGCCATAGGCGGAGAAAGACCAGAAACAGTGGTTGAGGAATAAGATCGTCGTGAAAGCGCATCTGCGTTGTTGTTGGAAGGTCCAGGGCGATAAACAATGTCAAAATCGTACTGCTGCAGCTGCAACGCCCAGCGAGCAAGCCGACCTGTAGGATCCTTTACATTCATGAGCCATGAAAGGCTACTGTGGTCTGTATGGACAAAAAATTTACGGCCATGAAGATAAGGTTGATACCGTTTAATTCCATCCACTACAGCAAGAGCTTCACGTTCCGTGGTGCTATAGCGTTTTTCAGCATTATTCAGCTCACGCCCACCATAGGCCATGACATACTCCACACCCGCAACTCGTTGGCCGAGAATATACCCAAGAGCCGAGTTGCTGGCATCAGTATACAGGTGAAAAGGCTCACTAAAAACGGGATAAGCTAAAACAGGATTGGAGCACAAACTCTGCTTTAGTATGTTGAAAGCGTGTTGACATTCAGCACTCCACACAAACTTGACGTCCTTTCTTGTTAGCTGATTTATAGGTGAAGCTATGCGTGCAAAATCATGGACAAAACGTCTGTAATAGTTACAGAGACCAAGAAAACTGCGTACATCCTTCACATTGGACGGCACTGGAAACGAGTTTACAACTTCAAGCTTGTCTGGGTCAGCAGAAATACCATTTGCAGAGACAATAAACCCAAGAAATTTCACAGAATGGCGAGCAAAGTGGCACTTACTTGGTTTCAATTTCAAGTTAGCCTGACGTATGCGATCGAAAACGAGAGACAGCCTTTGCAAATGTTCTTCAAAAGTAGAAGAAAAAACGATAATATCGTCTATATAGATGAGACAAACCTTCCATTCTAGGCCAGCAAGAACTCTCGACATCAGTCGTTGGAAAGTCGGTGGAGCGTTTGTTAAACCAAAACTCATTACATTATATTCGAACAATCCTGCATGTGAAACGAAGGCGGTTTTTTCTCGTGAAGACGGATGCATGGCAACTTGGTGATAGCCCGACTGCAGATCGAGCGTTGTAAAGAACTGAGATCCAGAAAGAGCGTCAAGGGCATCATCAATGCGAGGAAGAGGATAACTGTCTTTGCGAGTGACAGCATTTAATTTTCGATAGTCGACACAAAATCTCGTCGTACCGTCTTTCTTCTTTACTAAAACTACAGGAGAGCTCCAAGGGCTCGAAGAAGGTTGAATCACATTTTGAGATAGCATATTTGAAATCTGTGTTTCAATTTCTTCACGTTGCAATTGAGAGACTCGATAAGGTGAAGACTTAATAGGCCGAGCATCCCCTGTGTAAATTTCGTGTTCGATGATGGAA